ATGGGGAATGGACTTTTTAAATCTTATTTGTAATTTATGTTTTTATTTTTCTTTCATTTCAATTTAGATGAATGTAGAGAAAACAAGTTATTTGAAGCAAATTAAAAATAAATCTTAAAAGATACAGTATGTGAAAAAATATATATAGATTTAGCGGCAACCCGTAAAGATGTCCTTGACTGCCGCTAAAGATTACGTGTCAAACTTATAGTTGAGAAAACTGCTGCTAGAACTTCTAGCAACACTTCTTTTACGGGCAATTTACCAATTGCTGATAAAGTTTCTAGCGACAGTTTTGGAGACTTTTAGCGACAATTTTCTTATAGTATAGGGTTGTCGATGGGTTGGGTTGGACCCAATGGACCAAATGGACCTTAATTGAATGGACAAAATGGACCTTAACTGATTAGGTCGGTTTTGGTTCTAGGAAGTTGGAACCAATGGGATAGTTTCGGTTCCTGATATATTGTCACAATTCTTATTGGTTTAGAACCAATTCCACCTAGTCCCAAACTGGTTTAGACTGACCTGAGCTATATTTGTTAAATTATGTATGTATTATTTAATATATATATATATTAAATGTATAATATATTATATATTAAATAAATTAATATTATATATAATATTTTTAGCATGTTTATTACATTGGGTCCATTAGGTTAGACTTAATTGCCTCATCGAGTCCGACCAATTTAGTTTTGGGTCCTTATTATTTCTTACTAGGTTGGTTCTGGTTCTACTTTGACCCAACCCAGGCTCGACCCATTTATAACCCTAACAACAAATTCCAATTGATTAATTATTTAAGAAAACAAAGGTCCATCTTACTAAATAAGATGCTAAATTAAAGTAAGTACTTTTTTTTTTGTATTACCAATTAACCTCACAAAGATACCATGTCTGTCTCACCATAACCTTGATTTTCATAGATATCTGATTAAACAATATGTTATATTCATCCAAAGTGAAACCACCAAACACTTGAGTAAGCGCATCTAAAACCACCAACTACTAATGAAGATGATGAATTTGTTTGTATGTTATCTAATTAAACCATGGCCCCAAACACTGGGCATAATTTAAATCAATGGCCAATTGGGAGGGTGGCTCATGAGGAGTTAGTTCTTCGCTTGCTCATTCATTATAGATATGTATACAAAGTTTGTATTCCTTTGTTTATAAAGTTATCCAAACCTTCCATGGTTGAGATCCAGTTCAGAATCCAAAACGAGATTATAAAGTAACTGATAAGGACTCTATCTATACATGCTTATAAATCAGTAAACTTCAATTTGATGATTGATTACAAGAATGCAATAAAGCTCTGAATATGATTGAAATGGACTTAGGATGCATATGAAGGTTTGTCCTCCATGTTGAAAAAAGAGATTCGATGGGAATAAGACTATAGAAGTAGATCTACATTAAGCAATCTCAAACTATTGATTTGTGATAAACCGTTCGTGCATAGTGCCGATAAAAAATATGAAAAACGAATTCTGTGTAAGGTAATAATATGTTCATCTTAGTTAATATCTCTAAGTAGGACTAAGCTTAATATCTCCAACAAGGATGTTGTATGGCACTACATTGAATGTGTTGCAGTTTAACTTTCTTCTTTTTGTAGATTTCCTAGGTCTTTTCTTTTTGTGTCATGTTGATTAATATCCCCTATTTCCATAAAAAAAAAACTTATTGTATTGTCCTTTATTGTGTAAAGTAATTAACAAAAAATCAAATATACTGTAATGTATCCAACCTCTTTGAGCCATTAATGACAAAGCAATAAACTTCTCAATTCAACCATTTTAGTTACTACCACACATCCCCATAGCTGAAGTAAACAATTATTAAGTTGAATATCAATTACAATGGACAAAATCCAAAAATATCAAGTCATAAGTTGACACCTTAATTATAACATATGATATTTTTATAATGAAAATATCATCCAATTTAACCAAATTAGGACATTTAGAAAAAACAAATAGAGAATGTTAGACTTTTGATAATATGAGGATAGCAAGCTAACTACAATTTTGGCAATCATTTGAAAATCCACATGTGTGGTCTAAATAAGTTAAGCAAAGTTACTCTACACACAAAATGACTAAAATGAAATAATGGTTGATGACAAAGGATTTGTAAACATCAAAAGACCATCAATAGTAGGACCCAAAAGAAGGTAAAAACCATTCGCGACATGGCAATCTAATATATTTACTAGTTACCATCAAAATTTAATAGCAAAAATGGAAAAGACATCCAAAAGAAAGTCCAACCATTACAAGATATCACAAGGATAAAAAGCTAGAAAACCATGAATGTCTGTCCACAAGGGACACCACTACATCTGCATAGTACCGACACCTTTAGCCAACTTCTTGATGCTACCTCCATTTTGCTCTTTTGTTGCAACCAACTTAGAGGATGCAACTATCACAAAATTTCCCCCTCTCTTTGCAACCGCCATAGCTTTCTTTGTTGCCTTCTTCTTTTTTATGTCCAACACCATAATTTTGGTTAAAACACACAAAATTAGTTCGTGAAATCCCTATGACAACAATGTTTTGTATCTAAATCAAAGCAAAAAAGATAAAATTTTAAGAAAAATAAAATATTCAAAACCTAAACCAATCAAAACATGAGAAGATAATGAAAATAAAATTAGAAAAAAACTAAATCAAGAATGAGATTGGAGCTTCATATAAATATAGATGCCTTTGAGAGATTTGACGATGTAAATATTGGGAAAGGTGGAGTGGTAGTCAAGAGAGCAACCCTTGAGGGTTTTGTAGCATCTCTTCACTCTCTTCTTTAAAAGGCTTCTATTGTTCTCCATTTTCTAAGAAGAGGGACACTCATGGATGATGAGGAGAAAGAGAGACTACTTGTTGGGTCCTATCACCTATGGGTATGTCATTTAATAAAGGGCCTTTTTGTCCAAAAAACAAAACCTTGTTCCACTCACTCTTTTTGTATTTTTTTTTTCCAAAAGAGATACCTCATCTTGACAAATGATCAAACTTGATCATTTATTTTGCAAAAAGCCATTGACGTTTCTCTTCGATAAGGATCAGAATCAGAGATGGATAATTAATAAAAAGGGAAAATTCTTGATAGGTACCTTGTACATTAGGCCGAGTGCCAATTTAGTACCCATACTTTAAATCACGACAATCTAGTACTCGAACTTTCAATTTGCGACAATTTGGTACTCGGCGTTAGATTTCCATCAATTAGAAGATAAAAAGTCTTAAATACCCCAGTGTTATTTCGACCGATTAAAATTACTAAAATAGCCCATCAAGTAATGCAAGTAGGAACCACTATTCATACTTGCATTTACAGAGAATCCGAGAACCAGCTCCCTTACGCTGGTGGTGTCAAGCGAATGCGCTACTGGGAAAGTTGATTTCGACGTACATGACGCTGGAAAATTATTGTGCCACCGAGAATCTAAGAACCAATGCCCTTTTTGGAGGACGACTCCTGTTACCTGTCGCTAGAACACCCACTGTTTACTCAGCCGTTGTCGGAGAAGACGACTTGTTGCTGACACCGAAGAGACAACCAGGGTTGATCTTGTTATTCAATGGAGGCCGATTCAGAAGAAGGGGAGAAGAAAAAGGCAAAAGGGAAACCCATCTGAGATGCTGTTCTTCTGATTAGGGAGAAGGGTTTGCTGCAAGAACCGAAGAGAGTAACAGAGGAGTTTCACCGCTGCAACTCCTCTGTTTCAGTATCTCCTCGCCATTGAGGAGACAACAAGGGGTTCTCCTCTTTCGTTCGTTCAACCTAGAATGAAGACAACAGGGGATTAGGGAAATAAGAAGGACAGAGGGTAATTTTGGTATTTTGAAAATTTTAACCCGCATGTAAGGCTTCTAACCGACGAAAATCTAACACCGAGTACCAAATTGTCGCAAATTGAAAGTTCGGGTACCAAATTGTCGCAAATTAAAAATTCAGGTACTAGATTGTCGCGATTTAAAGTACAGGTACTAAATTGGCACTCGACCTAAGGTACAGGGTACCTATCGGGAATTTTCCCTAATAACAATTCAGTGGGGATGGTGAATATGATCCCCACCTCTGAATCCGTCTCATTAATGTTTTAAAAAATGACCCAAAATTGAAACCATTTTAGCCACTAGTTTCCAGGTTTACGGTTTAACCATCCGATTCGAATGGATTGCCCATTTTCCAAAAAAATTAAGAAATAAAAAAATAATTAAAATAAAAAATAGCTAAAAACTGTTGAATGGGTCGAACAAGTTGACAATTCGACTGTCTGGGTCAATGAGTTGTTAACTAATTCAATAATTTTTGACCAGAGACCAAGTTTGAGATAAAACAGAACTGGTTCCATGAAAAATTCCCAAGCCAAACAGTCCGATCATCTGAATCAACGATGGTTCGAAAACATTCCGTCTCATTGCCATTCCTACCACAGACTAATTTGACTGATCCGACCGTCGAAATCAACCACGAATTGGAAACATTGGCCCGTAACAGTGGATGGTAAGGATATTTTCCGCGGCAGCCGAAAAGAATTTTTTTGTCCGTGTGCGCGGATTCTTGCGTTGTGAGTCATTTTCTAGGTGCGCTGTCGGGCATGAGCACGAGGAATTAGGCTGAAAACCCTGAAAAGAAATGGTGAAAATTTAGCTGTCAAATTTCGACAGCTTGGGCTGTTAATGAGGCTTTTTGTGAACGACACGTTAGTTCCCCTCGTTCAGGAAAAAGTCCACGCCGGGAGATGGTGGAAATTTGGCTGTCCAAGTTCGACAGCCTGGACTGTAAATGGGTTTCTTGTGGATGACACGTTAGTTCTGACACAGGAAATGCCCTATTTGTCAGGCTGTCGATCGTGGACAGTCAACAGCCAAGGTAGTAGTAGTATTTTATTTTATTTTTACCCACCGATGGATCTTGGTCAATTCCGTAATATTAAGGGATAAAATGGTAAACTAAACCCCACTATATATATGGTGTTATTGTACAAAACCCTCTGCTCATTCGTCGAATTGATCGGGGCGACTGGGGAAGTGGCGACCGGAGAAAGAAATAGTTCGACTTCAGAGAGATTGAATCAACCTGAGCGAAACCAGAGCTTGTGATAGGTTTGGTCGAATTCCATATTCAAGTTTCTTATCTGAATTATTCAACGTTAGTTCAATCTTCTCTTCCTACGGTTTTCTTGGCCTTAATTCGCCTTAAATTTTCCAGGATATTTTTTCTTTGCGAATTGAAATGGCGTCGGAACCCGAAAACCCTTCCAAAGCCACTGATGCGACTAATGGTAGTGGTGCTGATGTAGAGGAAGAAGGGAAGACTTTGAGTAAGAAGGCGGCCAAGAAGGAAGCCATGAAACTAGAAAAGTTGAAACGCCAACAAGAAAAGGCGGCAGCGGCGGCTGCAGCAGCGAACATGACAGAAGGTGATCCTCTTGCTGGTAATTACGGTGACGTTCCACTTGAAGAACTGCAGTCGAAGGATGTGACAGGCCGAAAGTGGACAGAAGTTGGATTACTAAACGAGGAATTGAAGGATAAGGAAGTTTTAATTCGTGGGCGGGTGCAGACGATTCGTGCAGTTGGTAAAAAAATTGCCTTCTTGGTATTGAGAGAGAAAGGCTGCACGGTTCAGTGTGTTGCAACGGTAGCTCCGGAGCTTGTTAGCGGACAAATGGTGAAGTTTGCGACAAGCTTAAGTAGAGAGTCTCATGTCGACATTCAAGGGGTTGTCTCTGTGCCCAATGTGCCCGTTAAGGGCACGTCACAGCAGGTAGTTTTCCTTTATCGAGGAAGAGGCTCTATTTTGGAATTCTTTTGGAACAAAAGGGAATTGATCTTCTTCTCAACAGGTGGAAATTCAAGTGAGGAAACTATTTTGCATTAGCAAAGCAGTTCCAAATCTCCCCATCAACATTGAAGATGCTGCTCGAAGTGAGAGTGAAATTGAGAAAGCATTGCAGGTACGCGTGTTAATATGAGCTTAAACATTTTTCTAACCTTTATTAGGAGAATCGTTTTTTTTATAGCTCTTTCATCTAAGTAACTTGATTAGCTATTGATACATGTAACAGCAGTTCACATGCGTGTAAGAAAAGTTAATTTTCTCCCCCTTGCCCATTTCCCCCCTCTTTTGTATTCTCAAATTTTCATACAAAATTCTCTCAGTATACATAAACGTGGGGCTGCAAATGGTAGCCATTTTTCTAAATTTGATTTCAAATCCTATCTGGTTAAGGAGATCCAAGTTTAACCTGTTGATAATTGGACCAAATATCTATTCGACCCAATCCAATCTGATATGATCCCGTCTGTTAATATTTAAATGTATGTCCTTGCATCTAAATTAACTATATGTATCTAGGAGTGGAGTTGATTTGAATGTTGCATGCTTATAGAGTCGTGGTTCCAATCTCATACAAAGTTATTTTCGAGTCATTTTTTGTTTGATATATTAATAATATACAGTATTTTAATCAATTTTAATTTAACTTATTAATTGTATTCTACATCTGAATCTGATGCGAATGCAATCTATATATGAATATTATCAAATCAAATTTGGATCTGGTTATATCTGTGTTGACCTTTTCTGTTTGTGGCTGTACATGGAAGAGGCAATTCATTTCATTAGTGATAAGAGATGTAGACAGAATTTACAGATATAGAAAGCTGATTACAAGCAAGAATTACTACACTATAACCTCTTTTTTTAGTTTTTTTTTCCTCCTCTATATTAATGGTCTGCTTTAACGTGTTCAGGCTGGAGAACAGCTTGTTCGTGTTAATCAGGATACACGCTTAAACTACAGAGTCCTTGACATGCGTACCCCTGCTAATCAAGGGATCTTTCGTATTCAATGTCAAGTTGAAAATGTAAGTACATGTTTGGTCCTTTTGCCCCATGAATTAAGGTTCTTTGCATATATATCTTTATCAGTGGTTTGACAAGTTTATCCACACTAATCCAAAATATGATAGCTGTAAATTTAACATTTAATGTTCTTAATGTGGATTCTTGCATTAACAAAATGTGGATGTTTACAATACTTATCAAAAAAATGTGGGTGTTTACATTTTTATTTAATGTTTTCTCTTGAAAAATATGTTTTATATGTATTTACTACAGTTCTATGAGATCTACACTTGTACAAAAATGATAGCTGTAATTTTCTCTTGTAACATATTTATGTGGATATGTGAATTTTCCCTTTGGAAAATGTTCTATTGTATGATTTCACTAAACTTCTATTTTTAATTCAATTTCAAATTTTCAATACATGAGACATGTAATTTCTCTATTTTCTGATGATTTATAACCAAAAACTATTATCTACTGTGCCTTTGTTTAAGGTTCTTGTTCTTGAAGGATGTATTATTTTATAGTTATAACTGTAAACCTTGTATTATGCATACCTTGTATTGCTTGGACCTTTAGAGTGTTAGACATTCATGACAACATGTAGAAGTTATCAGTTACCATTGTCTTATTTTTCCTATTTTTAAAGTGTTCTGTTCAGAATATGTTTTTAGTGGGTTGAATTAGAAATTCAAGTGTTTAACTTGTAATTGTGTGTTGATCATTATTGTATCATTTCCAAAGCTTCATTGCAGAATTTCAATGTTTCATTGATGTCCCCATAGTTGTCTTAATTTTTGTAACGCCTCTATGTACATCCTTTGCATGCATCTCTTTTTCTCTCAATCTTTAATAACTTCTTCATAAAAGAATGAGGACTGAAGCATACACCAAGACAGTCACCCACTGTTATATATGGGTTGGATTTTCTAACACCACAGATTGCCTTCATAGATAGTTAATTTGACTCTGCTGGTTAGACTGCATATGGTTGTTTGTCTCAATCTTTAATAACTTCTTCATAAAAGAATGAGGACAGAAGCATACACCAAAATGGTCACCTACCATATATACGGGCTGGATTTCCTAACACCACAGATTGCCTTCATAAATAGTTAAGTTGACTCTGCTGGTTAGACTGCACATGGTTGTTTGTCTATTTATAGTCCTGGATATAAGGAATTTAAATTGGGAGTTTATGTGGCATTATTAATGGTTTGATGGCATACTTATATAATGTCTTAATCATCCTATTTATACATTATCAGTATGGATACTTGTGATCATCTAAAGGGTTTTCTTTTTTTGCCAATTCCTTTGTTTTCAGGGTTGATGTTTTGTAAGGATATTTGAATTGTGGCAAGGTTGTTGCCTCTTGCCTATTGTGTTTCTTGGTATCTGTATCTTTTTTGGGTATATGTTGTGTTACAATACCATCTCTGATCATCAGATTAAAGTTTTGGGTGCTTATATATATTTTTCCATTGTTCATAATTTTCACCCTCTGCCTATCAATTTAGTTCCATTATTTTATTCCTCTATGGTATTATATTTTGTTGAAAATCTTATCCTGAAAATTATTACATACTATTCAGATATTCAGGCAATTCTTGTTATCCGAAGGTTTTGTTGGAATCCATACCCCAAAATTGATAGCAGGATCAAGTGAAGGTGGCTCAGCTGTTTTCAAACTGGATTACAAAGGGCAGCCTGCATGCCTGGCACAATCACCTCAACTTCATAAACAAATGGCAATTTGTGGTGATTTTGGCCGTGTTTTTGAGATTGGTCCTGTATTTCGGGCAGAAGATTCATATACACATAGACATCTCTGCGAGTTTACAGGTCTTGATGTTGAAATGGAGATTAAAGAACACTATTTTGAGGTAAGGCCAGAGTTTTAATCCATTTGGGTTTGAGGTGACTTGTGTATTGAAGTATTGAAATTGGTGACTTACGGCTTACCCTCCATCAGGAGTGAAGTTTGGGATAAAAAAAGCTGTATAAGGGGTTGGATCCCCCAGGATGAGGATCTGTAATCTGTGTTTTTCTGGGCTATTTTAGTGGGAAGGTAGCCTGGGGGTGGGGGTAGAGCTAGTCTTTAACCTTGTAAAACGGTGCATGTGCACTATTTTCTGACTATACTTCTTATCTTTTTCTTTTTTTTTTTCTTTGTATTTTTACATATATTCAATAAAGAAGACTCTTTATCAGTTAATGATAAAAATGTTTTTTAACTTTTCATCACATTTTTCTGAAGGATGTGACTTGGTTGTTCCACCTAGTTGGAACATGGGGGGGGAGGGGGGGGAGGCCATGGGAATCAATGTTATTGAAGAAGTAATCTTGTTTATGCAGGTATTGGACATTCTGGACCGCTTATTTGTTGCAATGTTTGACAATCTGAATGAGAAGTGTCAAAAGGAACTTGAAGCTATTCAAAAGCAATATCCATTTGAACCTTTGAAGGTTATATTTTGATTTTGGTGTCCCAGATATTTTTATCTTTGGGTATGAAACTTTTTTCTTGTCTTTCTTATAACCCTATTGATGACATTTTGTGTTATGTAACAGTACTTAAGGAAGACGTTACGACTGACTTTTCAAGAAGGTGTTCAAATGCTCAAGGTGCGTAGAAAGGATTTGTTTCATTGGTATCACCATCAAATGAATGAATGAATAATTTGGATATAGGTGGAATTATATCATAACCTGCATAGGAGAAAGTTTTACAGAACCATGATAGGTCGGTGTAATTACAAAGTTCATCTTAGTTATGGCTGTACTTTTGCATCTTTATGCGGAAGTTAGCTCTGCCAATATGATTCTTTGGATTGGCAAGAAGACTGATTGCCTCGTGCCGTTTGAGAATGGTGGGTTGTGGGTCACATTGAGATGGTTAGGGATGTTTTACTCACAGGTTTGGACTAGAGAACTTTATGATGAGTTTGGTCATTCCCCATATTTTTTCGGTTATTTGCTTCCGTCTTCTTGTTGGTGGGTGAAATATCTGTTTCTCTTTTGTTGGCAATAATGACCCTGTGAATAAAAGGAATTAAATTTACACTAAGACACTACTTCTAATTTTTGTTTCCCTTTGGGATACAATTGCTACAAGTAGAGTGATATTACAGGGCTGGCTCGGAAATTTTGAGGTTTTAATTTTAGTGTGCTTTTTGAAATATCAGTGAACTCACATGGCATGATCTTATTGATAAATGTTATTGTATTAATATTATATCATTAATTGGCTCAGGAAGCTGGAATTGAAGTTGATCCATTGGGGGATCTAAACACGGAGACAGAGAGAAAATTGGGCCAATTAGTGCTAGAAAAGTAAGTGGTTTCTGAAATTTCTTCCAGAACTATAAATTTATTTTATTTGGGTGTGGAATTGTCGTGAAGTATAGCTGGCTAAGCATGGTTCTACTTTTGAATATAGGTATGGCACTGAGTTCTATATACTTCACCGATATCCTTTGGCTGTTAGACCATTCTACACCATGCCATGTTATGATGATCTTGCATACAGTAATTCATTTGACGTTTTCATTCGAGGTACTGAAAATCTCACCCTTATATTTCTGTATTGGTTCCTCCTTGCTTTAGATGATATTTCATTATCGGATTGCTGTGCCCTTGATATCTCATGCGATGTGGTTTTTGTAATTTTTATTTGATTTCAAAGTTGTGCGTATAGCCAATCGAACTACAAATGCTGGATCTTCTCTCCTTCCATCTACATACATTGTCTTCTATGTACATCGAATATTTTTCGCTTATTTTCTTTTCATTCTTTCCTTTTATCTAAAGGTGAGGAAATTATATCTGGAGCTCAGCGTATCCATGTACCAGAATTTTTGGCTACTCGTGCAGAGGCATGTGGCATTGATGTCAAGACGATATCTACATATATTGATTCGTTCCGGTATGTTCATGTTATGTGCTGCTTTGTCTTCCATTTCTTGATTTTCCATGAATGTCACCATGGTCAAAAGAAATTTGCCCTAGTGGTCTGGCATTTTGAATTTGGAACCAGCATTTATAATCTTCCTTTCATTTAAGATTTGGTTAACCATCTTGCCTTAGTTGGGTTGTGCTATTTATTTTCATGTTTTGAGCAAATGGTGCATGGTTAATATCATGAGGAGTATTTAAATTCAGACAGGACACCATGGCCGTCATGTCAACCTGTTGTCATTACTTGATGCACCCATGTAGGGTGTCTACTGTCTAGGACCCTTAATTGTTATTTTAATCAAATAGAATCTTGTTGCTCCACTTGACTTGTGGTGGCTGTTTGGTAACTGCTGAAATAGGTGCTGAAAGTGGAATTCAGAAAAGATTCCAAACCTAAAAATGATTTAATCCAGGGGTAAGTTATGATAAAGTTTTAGAACTAAAATAATCACCCCGATGCTTGTATTTTGTCATTCAGCAATTGAGTAGGTCTTGAGTTATTGAATGCTAATGACACATTTTTAAATTTGGAATCTTTTCAGTATTCTACTTTCAACTTCTAATCAGCAGTTATCAAATGGCACCTTTGGTTGGATAATATTAAGGGTAAATTGGTAAAATTCTTTCTGCTGAGTGCTAAGGTATCTGACAATTACTAATTCATACCTCCATTTTCTTAAATGACTCTGACATTCCTTGTCCTGATGTCATAGGACAAGACCACACCCTTCTGCTAGTCATCCATTGTTCACTGTCTGCTAGTTGGTTGATGTAATGACTCTGATATTCCATTATGAATCTGTCTGGGTGGTTTTGTGGGTTGTCAGAAAACTAAAGCATGACTTAGTAATTGTCGTATAACTTAGGGGATTTTTTACCCCAAATTTTACTCCTGCTGGAGGGATGGCCGCTGTTAATTTTATTAATATTGGAAAAAAAACCCTATGAGGGGGACGCAAATACCTTACCTTAAACACTATTTCCTGACTAAGAGGGATTATATGGGCTACACAACAGGGGGTAGCCCTCCCTCAAACCCTTAGACCCCCCACCCCAGGTGAAGGTGGGACTCGATCCCAGGTCTCCGCTACAACCAGCCAGAGACTTTACCAATAGGCTAGCCGGCACCTTCAACTGAGTAGTTGATAAATAATCAGAGTGTTTTGTTATCTTGTTCACTTACATCTGATTTGCAAAAAGAAATAATATGGAGTTAGGAAAGCTGGGAAATGAATTTGTGAAGATTTCTCAATCTGATCTCAATGAAGGGTCAAAGGTAGTTTCTCAGATGGAAGTTTTAAGAAATGGATCTGAGAAGATGAATTTAGAACTTGGCCAATGGCTGACCTTGTCAAAAAAGGAGGGAAGGAGAGATTCCCCCACAATAATACAACCAGAATTAGAAGAGAAGAGATTGAGTATGGTACTGGTACTTTTAGTACTTTGCCAGAGTTTTAGTAGGAAGGTTAAATGTTGAAGTTAGAGCTGGTTGGAAAGAGGTGGGTATCTTTTGGTTTTCAGGTGTTGTTCTAAGAATGCTAAAGGTATTGGAGATTGAGACTAATTTGTTGTAAGAATTGGTGGATTAATTTGGGTGAACTTGATAGGTTTGCCTTTGAATGTTTGCCTTTGAAACGAGACTATCGCTTGCCAGAGTTTTTTCATTCTTCTTATGTTGAGGTCTCTTCCTTTTCTCCCCCATCTGTGAATGTTCGAAGGAACTTCACCTTTCCTCCTTCCCAAACCCTGATCTTTTCATTCCTTTCATATCTTGTAACCACCCAAATCCGTCCTCCCTTAGCCGATCTTTTGGTTGGAGGAGATGAATTGTCTTCTCCTTTCTTCGAAGACATGGGGGAATTTTCCAGAGAGCCCCTTGTTCTTTTGTCCTTTTTGCCCCTTCCTTTCTTTTTAAACTCTACCGCTAACCTGCTGAAGCGGTAGTCCTTAATCCCTCTCATTTGAGAGACCCAATCGGCTGTAACCCGTTCATTCCTTTTCTTCTTCTTTGGCCCATCTCAAGACTCCTAGTCATCCTTCGGGTCCACTTCCATAGCGTCCGCTTGTCCCTCCTCTTTCTCATTTTTGGCTATCCCTTCTTCCATGTGTGCCTCTTGATTTGACCCTAAGTCTGACTCAGCATCTTCTTCCTCCCCCATTCGACTCTTCGTCTCCCTCCCTTTCTCCTGTCTTTCCTCTGTTCTCTCCTCTGCTCTCTCCCCTGCGTATCAGAGCACTCAACACCTTCCTCGGATCTCCCCTTCTCTCTGTGCTTTGACAGTGGCTTCTCCTCTCTGCGAAGAGTTTCATCAACTCTTTCTAGCAGCCTCAACTCATACTACTCCCCTGCAAACTCCAGAATTAACCTCCCAGGTACATCTGCTGGATTCTCCACCTCGACCAGAATCCTAGCTATATCTAACTTTTCCCACGTTCTATTGCGATCGTCAAATTTTATGAATTTTCCACAAGCTGCAGCCACTTCTTCGAAGGTGAGAATACTCCACACATGAAGTGGAATCCTCCGCAACTCCAATCCATGTCGTGACTCCCCCCCAACTCCCCAGCTGCTAGGAACCACCAGTCCAACCTCAGGTCTTTGGCCCTTTCTATTACCTCCTCTCCCTTTAAAACCTCCTCTACAAATTCATTCTAGTGAAACATGAATAACCAACCAAAGCTCTGCATTCAGTTTCCTCACCCCTAACACCTTCTCTATTCCCCATTCTAGTTTCGCACAGGCCTCAAACTTCCTCGCATCCATGTCATTTCCTACTACCCTTCCCACTAAGCTCACATGCAGGACCTTCATCCGCTCCTCCAACTTCCCTGTCTTTCTGATGTCCACAACTTTCTTCACAACTCCCTTCATCACTAACCAGTTATCAGCAAGCTATCGGAGCGGTGAGCAGTTCGGTGAGGGGTTGAATAGGCTATCAGAACTACCCTTCATGGTTATGGTACCTAGGGAGCTGTAAGAGGCAGACATAGAAACCACACCCTTTGAAAACTGAAGACCAGTTCCATGCATGGTGCTTTTGTGCTGTGGGAGATGCTTACGGGAAATTTTGGAAAATCAACCATTGGATAAATAGATGGGTCATGGAAGAATATCGACACAAGGATGGGGATCATGGGGATTGGAAAATATAGAACAAAACTTGGGGATGACTGCAGGAGGGGATGGCAGTTCTATTTGATGTTGGTCTCTTTTTGCTTTTTTTTTTTTTTTTTTTTGCTGTGGGAAGAGGTGTTTGAAGTGTGGAATGAGGTTCTGAGTTTGAGTTTAGAGAAGATTGAGGAGGGGTTTGTCTTTGTAAGGGTGCTTTTGGGGGTTGCTTCTTATCCCTTTTGGGGGGTGATTTCTTATCACCCCTTTGTAATTCTTTTTCTTCTTAATGACTTTTTCTTAATTTATTTTCAAAAAAAAAGAAAGAGTTACATGAATGTAGGCTAGTCGATAGGCTAAATATAGTTAGTTACAATTACACCTGATAAGGCTCAGTTAGGATCCAGATTGATTGGTAATGGGGTTAGATCTGGATCCTATTAATTCTTTTCCCCTTTTGTATCAATGATGGGATAAAGGAGGGTCAGAGAGAGAGAGAGAGAGAGAGAGAGAGAACACTTGAAACATAATCCTATGTAAGTTGGGTCTCTTTGCACTCTTCAAGCACAGAAATGTAGATAAAGGGTGATGTACCGTGTATTTAATAACAGTACCCTCTTGTCCTCTATCTAGAAGATCTGTGCAGTTCAAAGATCAGTGATAATAGGCTTGTCTTGATACCCACAAATCCAAGAAAAGTTGAATAGAGAAAAAGGTTTATTGACTAGAAAATAGAGTTTCTATTGATTTTAGTTGATCTTTTTCTTCAATATTTCTTGGATAGTTGCATCTCATATTGAAAAATACTAATAAAAAGAACACTACCCATCAGTTTTTTTTTTTTTTTTTTATATTAATTGTATGCAACTATGCATCTTCATGCTTAATTCTTTTATCAGTTGTTTTTAAGAGTAAAACCGATTTACGAGAGAATGTAAACCCAACTTGTATTGAGAACGCTGGTTCAGAAACAGCCTTACTTAACTGGGGTTTTGATTGCTTGGTCAAAGCTCTTCGGTATCATACCTTTCTGGCACATGGATATTGCCTAACTTATGGATGGACTGTTACAGGTATGGTGCACCACCGCACGGTGGATTCGGAGTGGGGTTGGAGCGTGTGGTAATGCTCTTCTGTGCACTCAACAATATCCGCAAAACATCACTTTTCCCTCGTGACCCACTGAGGATTGCTCCTTGAAATTTTATCATCAAATGAGTTACCTGTTTAATTTAAGATTATGCCTTTGAAATTCTTATGCTAAGAAATTTTAAAACAAGGTTTTATTTTCTTGAATGGTATTGATGTGTCACTATTTTTATATGGAAGGAAGTTTTCTGACAAAGCTTGAGCTGATATTGTTAAAACGTTGCCAGCAAGCATGCCTTGAGCGACGTTACATATATTGTTGAAACTTAAAAGTGGACCTTTCTTGTCAGTCTAATTATCAGAGCATTGGAAACGCCATTGTGTATGCCTGAAGTTGCTTGGACAGGTGCCAATTCATCTACAGCTAATAACATGAAATTTTATTAACTATTTGTCAAAAGGAAGAAAAACGAGTGATTTCAAACTGGTAGTAAGCTGGTTACAGGGAGAAAATTCAAAGTTCTGGATCTATGACAATGAAAAGAAAAGTAAGGTGGTTGACAAGAGAGATTGAAATCTCTTTCAATTGGGTTAAACGTTGCGCTAGCTCATTAGTTGATGTATTAGCGAAACCAGGGGTGGGGAGAGAATTTATTCTGGGCACTCTTGTAATTGAAAGATTGCTGGGGGAGAGATAAGAGGTTTTCTCTCTCGTTGATTGAATCTTATTTCTCTTGGAATTCTTGTCTTGTACACTTTCGATCTATTAATGAATTGAAATATTGCAGTTGTCGATCAAAATTATAAACCAAAACAGAAAAACAACCGGTTCTTGGAACGGGAGAACATCTTCATGGAACAGCCTCAACAACTCTCTAAGCATGTTACCACCTGAGTTATAGCAATAGGAAGTTTAGGAACTTCCCATCTACCTCTATTGGCAAGATAATTAGCAAACTGATATTTCTCTCTCTTAAAAAGTATGTGAAAATCTCACATTCATGTTCAGGTTTTTTTCTTGTCTAATTCCTTGCAAGATATATGTGATGTTCCAGGGGTGAGAGACCTTGTGCAAAAGAATATCAATCAAGCATTTATTGTCACTCTACCTCCAAATCTGTTATGCCATGATTTAAGCACAACTTGAGACCATCATAAAGGGTCAAAAACTCTATACGACTAGAAGATCCAACACCATAGAATTTATGAAAACCAAATTGGAACTCAAATTTGGTTTTTCACAATGCCACTTCACTGGTTCCTGAGTTACTGCGATTTGCCCTATCAAGTATCAACATTTAGTTTAAATGGAAGTCTTGAGGGCACTGCCAAATGACCCATCGAAGTCTTGATTCTCTCACAGGTTTGAGAGGAATATTTAAAATATTTCAATTAAGGGTCCATTCTTATTGACAGTGGGCTTTAACTCACAACACCTTTACCTTCTAATCTATGACAGCATTTTTCTTTCTAACTCACTGATAAGATGATCGAAGGAGTGAACCTTATGAGATGTTGGATTGAGAGTCTTCTGGTGATAACTAAGTCAATCGGAATTGCTTCATATAAGAATTTCTACACAAACTATGAGATTTCAGTAGTAGGGCCTAACTCCCAAATATATCTAGCCCAAGAGACAGAATTTTCATGAGATCTAACAAGCTCCCAAGATGAATACAAAGAAAAATCCCCATGAGGCTGATCTCTCCAAATTAATTTTTCATCGACTTCAGCTAGAGTAATAGCACTCTCCAAGGCCCTCTCCTTGATTATGATGGGAATTGGACTCAGTAGATCAAAGTTTAAATAGAAACAGAGAAAGATATTCCATATTAACATGGTAGTGAATATTAATGATTGCCAAAGATGCCTAAGAGAAATTTTGTTAGTAATGAAAAGACATATTTATGAGTAAAGAATGACAAAAACATAGAAACTAGTTGATAAGGAATGTTTAAAAAATAATTAAAATACAAAAATTAAGATTTAGATTAAGAGGGTTACAAATAGTAAGTCAACATTGATGATGATGAAGAGAAGAATGAAGAGCGAAGGAATTTTATGTAAGAAGGCATAGATCAAGAGCTATCAAGTTTGGTTCATTTATTAAAATATCCCATATGGATTTGTGTTTTGCTAAAACACCCCTATAGTTTGCTACCACTTAATCTACCTTCCATTAAGGGGGCGTTCTTTTTCTGGATTTTGAGAGGGGGGAAAGTTGGTCAATGGGATTTTGATTCCCATTGATGATGAAACCCATGTTTTTTTTTTTTTTTTTAGATTTATGTGGAGAACAGGGAAAGTTTATTTTCTTGGGTACCACTTATCCCGAGTAAGTGATATCCATCTGCTAGGTGGGTAAATAACTTTCCCACTTGGGGGGAAAGTTGCCAACACTTAAATGGGACAAAAATGCCCTTTTTAACATTGGATTTTTATGGCTAAAATGGTCATTGCCTTATTTACATGGGAAATAAAAGAACATGGGTAAATGCACTTGCCCAAGTAAGTCTTTCCTGGGAAACACATACTTGGGTAAATGCGTTTACCCGGGTAAGTAACTTACCGAAAAGCGAACAAAGCCTAAGAATAATTTGTATTGCCATTTGAAAATGGTCACATGATCACCTAAACTGAGTGTCAAATGTATAAGGGCATGGACCTATGGTTGTTTATCTCAAAAGTACCCTTAACACTTCACATCAAGCTTTTAGAAAGAAAACCTTCCCCCACAACATATCTTGGTTGGAGAAGACGTTGAGTGTGTGTGATTGAGGCTTCATGTTTCAATTAGGTATCATTTTTGAGGCTCTATATTTAGTTTAATAATAATAGATTTAGAATGTAAATTACATACACTGACTTAAGATGAAGAAGTGATGATGATCATGGTTATTTTCTCCTTCATGTGATCCATGCTTGCAGGTTATAATTGGCTTGTATTAATTAGAACTGTAATCTCATTGTGATGTCTCTTCTTATCTTCTCGTGTATGTCGTAAAAGAGTTCGCCCGCATTTTAATAGGGGAAAAAGGACATTTCCAATTTTGTTTTCTTTTGATTAAATTTGTTTTAACAGACATTGGGGGTAAAATGATCATTTTCCACTTCCATCTAACACACACTGATCAAGTAAATTGGTTGTGAACTATAGGAGTGTTTTAGTAAAACACAAACTATGTTGTAGGTTTTAGGAAATATGTGAAACTATAGAGTGTGCTTTAGTAAATGAAGAGATGGTATTAGGATGATGAAGATCAAGATGTTTAGTGGAATAGTTTATATTTTTGGTGTTGCAACATATGTTTCAATTTTCAAAGACATTTAGGCTATGTTTGGTTTCAAGGAAAAAATATGGAAAGGAAGGGAAAGGTAGATGTCTCTTAAGGTTGGTTTGGTTTGCAGTTGGAATCAGAATTGGAACCAGAATCAACATATGGAATCAGAATCGGAATGTTCTATTCCCATAGTTTGTTTGGTTCAGGTGGAATTAGAATAAGTTGGAATGGGTTTTCATTCTCAAGGGAGGGAGAGGGAATATCCATTCTCTCAAATGGGGAAATCCCATTCCAACGGAAATGGGATTTCGATTCTACCCAACCAAACAATTGGAATTAGAATGACCTATTCCAGTTCTGATTCCAGATCCCTATTCCCACAAACCAAACACAGACCCTTAGTTAATTAAACTCCAAAAAGTTGCAGGATTTAAATGATCTTGATGAAAAGAGAAAAGCATAAAGGGATTGCATTTAGTTGCATGAACAATAGATCCCAAGACCTTGATCAGTTGTTGGAAACAGTGAGAGAGAGTCATTACACTAATAAAGGATATATATTAAAAAGAATATAAATCAGTACATTCAATCTTAAGATGTGTTATCACTACTTCCCTGGCCTGGTGTAATATGGTATCCTATACCATGTCTTGTGGTTGGGAAAACCACAAACAACAGGCTGCAGATGAGTCCGACGGCAACGGGGACGATGTCCAAAACTTCCTGGGTCTCATGCTTGGGCTTTGGATAGAAGCAACTGACGATATTCCTATCTCTCAGCGCCACTGCAACAAACACCAGCACTGATAAGACTGCATGGACAAAGTCAATCAACTTTATCCTGTAGCTGCTGAGATCATCTGGAGCGCTAGCGCTTGAGCCTGCGTAGTCGAAGAGCCACATGCCCTTGCGGGTGGCAATACCGTGATACACCTTTCCATCTTGTGCTTTGAAGCTGTCGGTGAAGCAAGCCAGGAAACAAGAAGCAGCCAGCGCCAGCAGTAAGATTAGCGTCGCGGGGCGGGTGACTGAGTCGCAGGTGCCGTTGTTGGTGAAGGTCGGGGTGAGGAGTTGGAAGGCCAAGAGGGTGCCCGTGGGGAGGAGGTTGGCGAGGTGGGCAGTGCTTGCCAGAGTCTGACTGATGGCTTCTTGTGAGACAGAGGGAGAAGACGAGCTGGGAGTAGCTGTGTTTGGGATTATTAGAGGTTCTTCTTCTTCTTCTGCATCTGATGGCTGCTTGTTGGTGGCCAGTCTTTGTCTCAGAGACATCTCTGTCTGCATTAATTCTAACGTTGAAGAATCAATGGCTATGGCTAGACGGGTAGGAGGCGCTACAGGTCTGATAGAAGGGGAAATGAATAAGTATATAAATAGTGAAGGGAAGATGCAAAGATATATACAAGAAAAGGAGTTTCTTGTCTTGTAAAGGTGGTGTACACGTTGGTCTGTCGACTGCCGTTTCCGTTTGGTCCAAGCTTTGACATCTTCCATGATCCCGGGCATTGACAATCTCTCAAGTCAGTAGTCACAACCATTTCCCAGAAGATTTCTACTTCTCCTAGCTATCCGATTTGGGCTTTTTCAATCAACTTTACAATTACTTTGAAACTCAGCTAACCTGGAATGAATATTATATATATATATATAAGTACAGCTAGAATCGATATGGTTTCACGTTTATTCATTTAATCTATTTCTTTGTTGGCGGAGTAACACGTTATCTCTATTCTCTAGGGGTGTCCATAAAAAACCGAAAAATCAAACTGAACTGAAAAAATCGAATCGCAAAATGCGGTTAATTGAATCGATCGGTTCAGTTTTGATTTGAGATTTTTGAAAAACCAAAGGACCGGTTCGATTTTCAGTTACCCTACAAAAGAATCGACGGTTAACCGAACCGACTGGTATATATATTTTTATGTATATTTTATATATATTTTTAATATATGTCACATATTTTCTATATATTATATAAATATATAATCATTATATATATAAATATATACTTATATTATATTTATAATGATCTATTTATAAATATATTATATATATTATATATTTTTCAAATATTTATAATATTTTATATATCATTTATCATTTATCATTTATTATATAATATTATATATTTGTATAATATGTATTATAAATATAAAAATCTGAAAAACTGAATTGGTCAAAAACCGAAACCAGCGGACCGATTAACCAATGGTACCAGTGCAATTTCGGTTTAGAGAATTAGAAAAACCGATAACACTAGTTCGGTTTAAAAAAAGTGCCATGGTTCGATTAACTGAACCGTAGACACCCCTACTATTCTCTATAATATTCCAGTTGTGTAGGTCTTAGTCGATCGGTTAGGCCTTATATGACTCATTAGGAATGAGTCATAGTTTTGGATTCTGTTGAGTCTTACAGTAATTAATGAGGAGGCATTAAACCCTTTGTACAAGTATTCTCCTATTTAGTTTTCTTTTCAATCAGTTAGCGACCTTCCTCGAAAGACCATTTTAAGTTTTATGCATGGATTTCAAATTGGCAAGGAGGCATAATTTGAATTTTGTTTGGATATTTTAAGAATATTATTGCGGGGAGTTGACTAGAGTTGGTGTAATTTTATGCTTGGTGATCATGTTTTTGCTGCTCGGCTAATGGTTATTGTTGGATTATGGCAAGTTGCAGATATAGTGGATGCATTTAGTTGTAATAGAAAGGTAGAGTTTATGGGGTTATTGGCCTTTCGTTGGTCTTCTCATAGTCACACATTTATCATGCATGACATGGGAGGAGAATCGAACACTATAGTCTCATTGAGCTTGAAGTATGGATAGTATAGGCCCACTCATACCTTATGTTGAAACTTAATTAATCATAATGGGGTGATGAGAATCATCGAACACTAGACCACTTGATCAAAGTGACTCTGATACCATCTCAAAGAACCATTGAACCTAAAAGCTTAAACTGTTAAGTGAGGTCTTTGAATAAGTCTTATTCACTAACATTCGATATTCTCTGTTGTTTCCCTGATATTGTTTTATCCTTCCATGAGTAGTGCATATCCTGCTAATCGTGTATATCATCAATTAGGGTTGGATATGCTCCCCTTTGTTAATCACGAGGACTTGGAGGTTGGAATGCATACTGAAGTGTCAAAGGTGGAATACTTATCCATCTTTTACTTCTTTTCTTGTGATTGATAAGTGTCACATTGGTAGGACATCCGATAGCTACAACCAGTTCTGGGTATCTCAAATAATGTATTGGCAGAAATTTATTACAAATCATTCTCCAAGGAAGGCTGCTACTCTATTATCTAAACTTCCTATTATGAAGAAGAAAAGCCCTAAGGTAGGTCGGAAGCGAAGGGCTATGCCTCAGAATGGCATTGATAAGAATAAGGGTCCTTCTCTAAAGAGGACTCATGCTAGCTGCTTAACGATGGGGAAGGTGGAAGGTAGTAATAAGTGACAGTGAGAGGGATCTTACACACTTGCCCTGCCTAGAACTCAATGTGAGGTTTCCTCTACATAAATGTGGGGAGGCCGCTAACATCTCATCCCACTAGGACTAGGTCTATCGTGGTGAGGATTGTAGAGAAAGCAATAATGATCCAACCTTTGGATCCTGTTACCACGACACTTGCTCCTGTAAACACTGCCCTTAGTTAGTGGTGGTTCTTTTTAAAAAACGGCTAAAAAATGGAACAGTTCTGGTCACCGGTTTTTGGGTTGATGGTTTGACTGCCCGGTTCGAATGGACGGTTCATTCTGACAACAAAATTAAAAAATGGTCAAAAATCATTGAATGGGTCATTAGGTCAACGATTCAACCACCTGGGTCAATGAATCATTGATCGATTCAACGGTTTTTGGCTAGGGGTCGGGTTTGGGGTAAAACAGAACTGGTTGCTTGAATGGTTTCCAAGCCAAACGGTCCGACCGCCTGGGTCAACGGTGGTTCGAAAACCATGATCTAAAGTGAAGGTATGCCTTTATTCGCCTTGCCATGCTTTGTTATTAAGTATCATTGGTTACTGTTCTATGTGTTTAATTAGCATTTTTTATTTTTATTTTTTCATGTAGAAGTATCAAAATCTTTACATGTTATTCCAAAGGATAAACTTGGATTCTTCGCAAGGAGCATGCTAAAAAATTCCATTGGAAGTTGAGCACCGGAAAAATGTGGAATAGGTAATAATGTGCTTTGTAATTTTCTTGTGTTTCTATCCTTAGTTATTCTGTTAATTAATACTATTGTTTGATGTATTAGATAGAACGAAAATTTGAGTAGCTTGAGCAATGCCTTTACGAGATTCAGGTAAATATAGCAACGTTAGCAACATCTATGCGTGATAATTTTTTTAAGGACACATTTGAAAGTGCTTATGTTAAAAATAAGTGCTTATTGAATAAGTGCAACTTTTTCAAGTACTTATTCTTAAAAATAAGCACTTATTTTATATTGGACATTTGGTAGTCTTTTTCTTCAATAAGCACTTAAATAAGCATTTGTGACTATGTTGTCCTTTGTTTTTTTTCAAATTTTCAAAACATGCCCTTATGAAAACATTTTTATTAAATTATTTTTATAAAAGTACTTTTATAAAAGTGCTTTTATGAAAGCAAAAGAAAAAATCGAATAAGTGCTTATTGTATAAACACTTAAAAAAACTGAAAATTTGGGATTAAAAATTAAGCCATTATTTTTAAAATAAGCACTTATTTCAGACTTATTTCACAAACACATAAGTTATTAATAGTGTGGTCCAGGCCCAAATAAGCAAACATGTCCTAAATCTCCCAGTGAGGATATCAATGGTGAATTAGTTGACTTGTGGATGAGTATCGAGTTCATAGACGCTACTTTTAACTCTAATGCCATGGCTGCTCTTCTTGCTCTTGAGGGGAGGATTTTTGATAAGATTGATATAGATCTCATTGATTTTTTCTTCCTATGATGAGGCCTTAGGTGATTTGCACAATTTTTTTTTTGGGTGAGTCGGCCTTTAATATAGAAGTTGAGGGTAGAGAAGTTGCTTCTAGGGTTGGGTTATCCTCATCCAATCTTATTTGGTTGATGAGGCTTAGGGGTTATAAAGTAGGCCATGGGCTAGGGGCATGGTTATTAGGTATAAAGATTTTCAAAAAAAAAAAAAATACAAGGTATAAAGGAACCTCTTGCCCCTAAGGCTATGTTTAGAAACAATGCAAATGTAGTGTAAATCCCAGTTCAGGGTAAATTTGCACTCTGGTTCACTTTTGCCTGTTGTCGACACAAATTTCGTGTATTTCAAGCACAAAATATGAAGACAAATTACAAAAATAAATTTGTAATAAAGAAAGATACAAGGGAATAAACTCTCTTTGATTTATGCTCGATGACATGAACAACCTTTGATTAACGGTCGAATTTGGTGAAGACGAGGGCCGTTGGTGTGTTTCTTGTACTTCTTAGATTTTCTTGATTTTAGTGCTTTGGGAGATTTGGTGTAGATTTTTTCACTTAAGGATTTGCACTTGATCAACTGTGAATGATGCTTCTCTAAGAAGGGGCCCTTTTGCGGTGGCTTGATTTTCTTGGAAGAGCTTGAACCCAAGTGTGTTGTTGAGAATGAAGAAGCTTTTCCCTTCTTTCTTCTCTCTTGATCTTACAGTTGTTGGAGTTTGTAGGAGTTTGTAGTTACTTGCAAATCCTCAAGTGTTGGTGCATGAGAGCTTCTTGCAATGTGATTCTCCAAAAGGGAGGCTCTTCCTTCTTAAGCAAGGCTATTTATAGCCAAGGATTAAGATTGCCACCTTAACCTACTTAGCTAACCAATCCATGTGAGTGGGGTATTGGGTTAAGGTTAACTCCCACGCATGCACCATTATGTAGGAGTTAGTGGTTTTGCCAATGGGACTACCCTATTATAATAGGAGATGGGACATATTGGACTTAGTACACTTGGATCCTAGGGCCACTAAGTCATATTTATGTAGACTAGATCCTTGGGCCCATGGAGGCCCATATTTATTTAGAGACTACTATGTAAATTAAGCCCATGCATTTGGCTTTGAATATTCACATGTCTACAAATGCCTCCCGGAGGGAGGACGAGAGCTCCGTACGATGCCGATGTCCTCGTTGACATTGATTTCCATGTTGGATGGTAACTTGACTTGAATGCTTGTGATCTTGTTCAGTTGTGGGCCTTGATGAAATGGATGCTTGTCCTTTAGGTTCCAAGAAAATGATTGCATTCTACCTCATTGAGCTTTACTGTCCTAGGATCATAGCAGTAAGAGTTGTAGTGAGGAGATCGTGTTCTGCTAACATGCAGGCTTTGTTGTGTTTATGGATGAAA